CTGCCCAGGCTGGGCCAATCAATCGCACTCAGTACTGAGAGTTTGAAAGTAGGAAGCCAAAGACAACGAGTGAGTTGCTGAGAATATGTAACAATTTCTATGAAGTGTGCATGTCCTTCTATGTAATTAAAACATTTTGAATAAATTTAGGGGCATATTAAAGACCAGGAAGGGTGCAGCACCTCGTTTCTTGCAACTGGATTAAAAAGCAGCAATGGTTGGCTCTCCCATCCCATCCAAGCACCTCCCCCAGGCCCCTCCTCCCACACCTTCCCATGAGCCAACCATTGAAAGGTCAGTTAAAAGGCACAGCCCTCCGTCCTGAATAAGTGGTGACCGTGCCGGGCCAGTGCTTCCATTTTTGGAAAATCATTCCTGCTTAATTCCAAAAAGCGCCTCCTCTGTCCCAGAGTGACACAGAAACCAGGGTGACCCTGGATTAGCGCGTGAGTGAGATGTGCTGATTCCAGGGTCTTTTAAAAGCTTATTTTTAAAAACATGTGATTCACATACTTAGTATGGAGGTACTATACAATGTTTCAACACACATAGATACAGCGTGAACTGATCAAGTCAGGCAATCAACATTTCCTTGTCTTGTTGTTTGGAGCCTGCCAGCCCCTCTCTTCTAGGTCTTTATATAGCATTTAATATATGATTGTGAGGGACAGGCCTCACACTGTGCTGCCTGGGTACTCGTTGGCCAGCAACCTCCCTCTACGGCCCTCGACCCCACCCTTCCCGGCCTCTAGGAATCACTGTTCAATGAGAGTTGGTGTTGCCATCCACTGGGCCGCTTAGAGCAGCAGGCAGCATTAAATTGAGAGCAGTGAGAGGCTGGTGGCTGCATTTCAGCCTTGGTGATGTAATCTCTCTCCCGTCCTCTCTGCAGACTCGGACTGCTCTGCCCCAGACCTGGGTCACCCATGTCAGCCCATTTCCGGCAGTGCCCAGTTTAACTACGCTGTGTGCCTCACTGAATGACCCGGATGGTGCTATGGTAGAGCTAAGGCACCAAGGAAAGCGGAGTCCCATTGTCCAGCACACGGGGGGGCTCAGATCCTCACCCTGCCTCAGCGCCAGCTAGGTGATCTCAGGCAAATGACGTCATTCCCAAGCCAGGATTTCCTCTGCGTGGACACGGGGATATTATCATGACAATCATCCATTCAAGGCCCGCTGTCCTGCAAGCCGCATTCAAACTCACTGCAGATTGCTGCTCTCCCCTGCTGGTCCAAAAAAGCTCCAAGGACCAGGCTGTTGGATCGTCAGCATCAGAGCCTCACCTGGTTCTGAAACACTCCTCCCAGCGTTGAACCGAAGCGCATTCCCGGGGCCAAAAGAAATCGCACATTTCACAATGTGGAAAATGCCAGCGATCCAGACGGGCTCACGTCAGAGGATTCCGAGCTGGGCTGATTTCCTCCGCGGATGAAAGTAGCCCTGGAACTTTCTCTCGCACAACCCCAGCACAGTTTGTAATGCCCGTGCAGCCTTTGCTTCTCTATAACTAGAAGCTGGGGGGAGGGGGTGGGGCAAGGCTCCTGGCCCTTTTTGCACCTTAACTTGGCAGCTGGGAACATGAGCTACCAGGGGACCCCTCCCAACAGAGCACATGATCGGCTACAGCTGTGCATGGTTTTTAGCATGACTGCACCAGCGCGGGGCTCCAAGCCACTGGGTGGAGCAGGGTGCCCTGGGGAGAAGCCTTATGACATTTCCCTTATGATTTCAGCAAAGAAAAAAAATAATAAAACACAACTCTTTTTTTTTTTCTGATGTGTTGTTTCTGTGCTTGGTCAACAGGAGCTATCACAGCAGGTTTACGTGTTTGTGCACATGTGAATGGCCACAGGCCCAGCGTCCACTATAGCAGGAGGGAATTTAAACTGTGGGATTCTTAGGAGTGAAGGGAAGTCAGACATTGCTGGCTACTTGCCTACTTGACCTCAACTGTGTTCTTGAAGAACGACGGAGAAAGGGGAGAGAGCCTCCATCTGTTGGTTGGCTCCCCAAATGCCCACAGTGCCTGGGCTGAGCCGGAAGCCATGAACTCCATCCGGGGCACAGGGACTTCAGTGCTGACCTGCTGTCTCCCTGGAGCCTGATGGGAAGTGGCACAGTGGGTTGAGCGACCCCCTTGGGACACATTTGAAATGTTACTCTTTTTATATAAGAGCCCCAGTTTTATTTAGGGTGATCTCCACAGTTAGAAAGACAATCTCCCCGACTCTCTTGGGGGGCTCACTTCCAGCCAATGAGAAGTGTGGTGTGCAACATCTAAGCAGGCTGCACAAAAGAAGTTGACACCATTGGAAAGTGTGTTCTGGGCTGCCTGCCTTTCCCTTCCTCTGGTGTGGAATGTCATCTCGATGGCTGGAGCTCCAGGAGCCCTCCTGGAACTTGTAGTGACCTTGAAGATGGAAGCCCCCCAAGGGGCCAGGACGCTGGAGGCAGAATGAGAGGCTGGGCCCCAGGTGCCTGAGGGGCCACCACGCCAGCCCCCACGTGCTTAGTTCCTCCTGCCTCTGTGAAGAAAACTCCGTCACAGTGAAGTAGGCAGGCATACAGGTTAAAATTGGTCAGATCTGTGAACTGGAAGACCACGCCCCTGTGCAACCTGATGCCTTTGCCATGCCCCTGTGTGGCCTCATTCCCCTAGCTGGCCACACCGGGGTGCCCACCAGCCAATCAGGTTAATTAACCACTCCCCTTTGGAAGTGGGTTAAAAGCCTGGGGCACCGTGTGCTCGGGCCTGCTCTTCTTCCCTGGCCTCTTGCCAGGACAGGGCTTGCTGTAGCCCTGCGCCTCCAGGAAGCATGGCCTTCGGGCCATGTGCTCTAGGCTTCCTGGCCTAGATGCTCCTCCACGTGGCTGGTTCCTGGTGCTCGGTATGAACCCCCATTCACTTCTCTCCCCTAAATAAAGCTCTCACTCTCCTATGCATCTTTCTTACTAAATAAAGGCTTAAAACGTACCATATGCCTTGTTTATCTGTGCCGGTGTTTAGAATTTTTTTTTTTTTTTTTGACAGGCAGAGTGCACAGTGAGAGAGACAGAGAGAAAGGTCTTCCTTTGCCGTTGGTTCACCCTCCAATGGCCACCGCAGCTGGCGCACCGCGCTGATCCAATGGCAGGAGCCAGGTGCTTCTCCTGGTCTCCCATGGGGTGCAGGGCCCAAGCACTTGGGCCATCCTCCACTGCACTCCCTGGCCACAGCAGAGAGCTGGCCTGGAAGAGGGGCAACCGGGACAGAATCCAGCGCCCCGACCGGGACTAGAACCCGGTGTGCCGGCGCCGCAAGGCGGAGGATTAGCCTAGTGAGCCGCGGCGCCAGCCTTAGAATTCTTTAAATATTAGGCAAGAACCCTCTCGGGCTTATTAATATCGGGGATTTAGTAATAAGCCCATGGTGAAATCGTATAGCACCCCAAATTCCGGTAGCACATGTGGCACCCCGGATAGCATTTCTAGGGAACTTCAAGGGGCCACATTTCAGGGTAAATTTTAGGGGGTCTTTTCTGATTTCAACAGCAAAGTCTTCTCCAATGTAATCCACTGTGTAAGGACAGCGCCTGTTAACTTTATGCGAAGAAGGCATGAATGGAGGTTATGGCAGCTCTTTGTTCCAATAGCAGAAAAATTGGTTAAGAAGAAAAAATAAGCTCTCGGTGGAACAATGCCAAAGAATGCTACTGCAGCCGTGCACACAGTGAAAATTCTTCCTACCATACCGGTGAGTGGGAAACAGGGAGCCCCGTGTGCTTGGCGATTGGTAAACCCAGCCCCGCCCCGCACAAGTGCAACACGACCATTTCTAGAGACACTTCGTGGCTTGTTCACGCATAGGAAAACCTTCGCCCTACGTGATGAACCGATAACTGGCTGGAATTTAAACTTTGTGCGTGTGAACAAGTTACAACCACACACGTCAAGCTAAAAGCTCAAGAGAAATCAGATTAGCCTTGCAACACCGGGATTCTGAAGCTTTTCTGGCCAGAACCTTCCACATAGCGTGGTTCAGCCTCGAAAAGGATTAGTCACGGCCAACAGCATTAGGTGGAAATCGCAAGATTGAAGCTATTTCAGCCGGCGCCGCGGCTCACTAGGCTAATCCTCCACCTTGCGGTGCCGGCACACAGGGTTCTAGTCCCGGTCGGGGCGCCGGATTCTGTCCCGGTTGCCCCTCTTCCAGGCCAGCCCTCTGCTGTGGCCAGGGAGTGCAGTGGAGGATGGCCCAAGTGCTTGGGCCCTGCACCCCATGGGAGACCAGGAGAAGCACCTGGCTCCTGCCATCGGATCAGCGCAGCGCGCCGGCCGCGGAGGCCATTGGAGGGTGAACCAATGGCAAAAAGGAAGACCTTTCTCTCTGTCTCTCTCTCACTGTCCACTCTGCCTGTCAAAATAAATAAATAAGTAAATAAATTAAAAAAAAAAGATTGAAGCTATTTTAAAAAAATGCGAAATGTAATGGTTTCAGGAGCGGTTTTTCAGGTTGAGGGGTGACAGCATTGTTGACAGCCGCGTGCAGGACAGCCAGGGCCTGGCCTATTGACGACCTCCTGAAAAACAGCTGCTCCACCTGCCACTGACTTCCCTGGAGGCTGCGGGAGGCCGCGGGCCAGGGTCAGACACCCAGCAAGGCTCTTCAGCTTCCAGCTCCGATTCATTCCGGAGGAGGTGTCGCGGGACGCCCTGAGGGGACTTCTGGCCCCAGCCTGTGCGTCAGAGGAAGAACAGCTTCTAAAAGAGCAGCCCGGGGCCGGCCCAGCCAGGAAGACAACCTCCGCCAGCCCGGGCAGGAGGAGGCGGGGGCGGCGCCCGAGGGGCGGGGCCACGGCGCGGGGGCGGGGCTTCCGCAGGCGGGGCCGCAGGAAACGGCCCGGGGCGGGGCCCGGCAGGCTGGCGAAGGTCGGGAGGCGGGGCCGCAGGGACGGCGCCCGCAGAGGCGGTCCCCGGAAGTCGGCGGCCGGGGGCGGGGCCGGGAGGCGCGCGCCGGTCACGTGCCGGCGGCGGCGGCGTCGCGCTGCGCCGCGCGGCGAAGATGGCGGCCTCCAGCTGGGCTCGCAAGGCCGTGGTCCTGCTTTGTGCGTCCGACCTGCTGCTGCTGTTGCTGCTGCTGCCGCCGCCGAGAGCCTCCGCGGCCGAGGGCCCGGCGGGGACACCTGGCGAGGCTAGTGCCCCTCCTCGGAAGAAGAAGAAAGACATCCGCGATTACAATGACGCGGACATGGCGCGGCTCCTGGAGCAGTGGGAGGTCCGCCTTGCGCGCGCCCGCCGGGCCTTCGCGTCTCCCTCTGACCCCTTCCCCGCTGCGTCTGGGACCCTTCTGGCTCGTATCCTGGGTTTTTCTAAGCCTCTAACCTCTCGTGGCGGGAGTCCCACCGCCGCTCACCCTCCTTGTTTCGCATACCCTGCGCATCCGGGCCCAGGCCTCTCATCCCAGGGCCAGTCCTCCGGCCACGCCAGTCCCTGGTCGCCCCTGGTCGGGGAGCCCTGCAAAGCGAGAGAGAGGCCTCGGGCACCCTCTGCCTCCCTCCCTCCCCGCACCCCCAGTCTCCCGGGTGCTGGGTTGCTGCGATGACCGTTCTCGGGAGGGGTCTCCCCGCTTTCTTCCAGCTCCTGTCTCCCAAATCCGTCTAATTTCAGACTTCCCGTATGCTGCGTGTCCCTGCTGGGGGTTTTGTAGCTTTTATGGGCGAGCTTAGGAGGTGGAGAAGTGTACGTGGGCCCGGGGCTCTCCGTCCTGCACCTCACTTTTTTTTTTGTTTAATGGAACCAGGACTTGTCTGGGGGAGTTTTCTGGCTTGTTTCTTGGAGACGCTGGAGTTTGCAGACATGGCGGGGGGAGGGGGGGGCGTGTAGTAAGTTTTTGAGGTCAGGTTCACTGGCCCAGAACCACGTGGAGGCCTTTTTCCTTTCCAAAGGTGGTTGTCCTGCCCGAGTGATTGCTGGCTGGGGCTGGAGTCGGAGGGTGGACTGGGCAGGGCAGCTCCTCTGTGAGCTTCGGCTTTCCTTTGGAATGAAGGGATCTTGGTGATCAGGGCTGATGGTCCTTACTCGGGTTGCTTCTGTGTCGAGGAGGTGGTAGAACTTGCAGGAGTGAATTTAAGATTCCGCGTGTGGCCGGCGCCGCGGCTCACTAGGCTAATCCTCCGCCTTGCGGCGCCGGCACACCGGGTTCTAGTCCCGGTCGGGGCGCCGGATTCTGTCCTGGTTGCCCCTCTTCCAGGCCAGCCCTCTGCTGTGGCCCGGGAGTGCAGTGGAGGATGGCCCAAGTGCTTGGGCCCTGCACCCCATGGGAGACCAGGAAAAGCACCTGGCTCCTGGCTCCTGCCATCGGATCAGCGCGGTGCGCCAGCCGCAGCGCTCCGGCCGCGGCGGCCATTGGAGGGTGAACCAACGGCAAAGGAAGACCTTTCTCTCTGTCTCTCTCTCTCACTGTCCACTCTGCCTGTCCAAAAAAAAAAAAAAAAAAAAACACTCCGCGTGATGCGTTTGGAGCTCGCAGACCTGTGTGTGCACGTTCACCTGCAGTAGATGGGGCGACTGGGGCAGGTGGGAGTGGCTGCATACCACCAGTGGGAGCTGGCCCATTGACGTCTCTCTTGTCTTTTTTTTTTTTTTTTAAGATTTTATTTATTTATTTGAGAGGTAGAGTTACAGACAGTGAGAGAGAGAGAGACACAGAGAGAGAAAGGTCTTCTGACCGCCAGTTCACTCCCCCAAATTGCTGCAATGGCCGGAGCTGCGCCGATCCGAAGCCAGGAGCTTCTTCCCGGTCTCCCACATGGATGCAGGGGCCCAAGGACTTGGACCATCTTCCCCTGCTTTCCCAGGCCATAGCAGAGAGCGGGATGGGAAGAGGAGCAGCCGGGACTAGAACTGGCACCCATATGGGTCAGATTCTGTCCCTTGACTTTGAAGCCTGTTCCTTGAGCCATTTCGCTCGGCTCCCCCAAACATTGGTGAGCCGAAGTGCGGATGAAAGGTAGCGAGGAAAACCTGGCGCAAGGCAGAAGCTGCAGGGGTACGTGGAGGGAGCAGTGGGAGAGGTGGATGCTCTTGACAGCCTGTGGGTTGTGAGCAGTAAGGCCACAGCGTACGTCCGAAGGACAGCTCTGAGTTCAGCGCTGTCTGCTCCTCCAGTGTCTGCAGAGCCAGCTGGCATCCCGCTGTGTGAGCCCTGCAGGCGCGCCCTTCCCCGAGGGGGGTTGTCCGTGGGTTGGCACATCCATCTCGGGCGCTTTTTCCCAGGAAGCAGTTGAAACCACGCCCCGTCTTCCCGGCTGGCGTGAGAACCGTTGCCTCCCATGTGTGGAGAGAGGCGAGAACGCCTTCTGCAAAGTTAGTACTAATGCCCAGCCCAGCCCGTCTGTGTGCGAGGATCACAGGCAGGGGGAGATGTGGAGCCAGACTGTGGGTTTGCGCTTAAACTGCAGCGTGAGCGCTTCTGAGACAGCCCCACCAGCCTCAGCCTCAGTGTAGTCAGCGGAACCTTGTGGGGGGTTCTGAGTGCAGACAGTAAAGTGCCTGCCACATCGCACAGCTGCTCCGTCGTGGTGCTGTCGTCAGAGACCCTCGTGGGGAGAAGAGGGACCGGGAGCTCAGCTTTGTGGTGGGGAAGCCAGCTGACAGTGCCAGGCTGCCGGGGCTGAGGATGGGCTTGTGGGCAGCACGGCCTAGGTGAAGACCAGAGGTTGCCCGTACACCGCGGGCCCCTGTGTTGACGCAGGGCTTCCCAGTTAACCTGCGTCTGTACGGTTTTCTTTTTTTTCCTCCTGTCACTGAAATACAGGCATGAAACGAAAATCCTGTGTGCACTGGACTTGGGTTCTTGAATCATGTTTTTGTTAGAACAAGTGCTGCTGGTGATCCACTGAGTTGCTTTCATGACCGGATCAGTTTAGAAAACATAAAGGCTGGGCTGGGGCGGCGGAGCAGGTAAAGCCGCCGCCCACAACGCCTGCATCCCATGTGAGCCCCAGTTCCTGTCCCGGCTGCTCCACTTCTGATCCTGCTCCCATCTAATAGCCTGGGGAAAACAGTGGAAGATGGCCCAAGTCCTTGGGCCTCTGCCATCCACATGGGAGACCTGGAAGAAGCTCCTGGCTCCCAGCTTCAGTCTGGCCCAGTCCCAGCTGTTGCGGCCATTTGGGGAATGAACCAGTGGGTGGAAGATCTCTCTATCTCTTTATCCCTCTGTAACTCTGACTTTCAAGTAAATAAATCTTTTATATATCTATATAGCTCTATTTATAAATGCTGTGAGGTCCCTAGCTAACCAGAAGTTGCGGTTTGCTTTAAGGAGACCATAGCAGATGTTTGGGAGAAGTTGGACAAAATGAGGACAGAAACAGCATGGAAAGCTGACAATGAGGAGTGCTTTAGATTTCTGTAGGGAGACTGGGGTTGGAGGCCAGGTGCCAGGAGCCTGGCCGCTGAGCGCCCTCTGGGCTTAAATCCCCTGAACACGCCCTAGAGGGGAGGCTGTGTTGGGACCCCTGCGCCCTGTTATTCTCAGATGGCTCAATGGCTTGCCCAAGGCCACACAGCTCAATGGTAGAACGGGGACCTGAGCCTAGAGCCACCTAACCGCACAGTCCCTGCCGCGTCTGCGGGCGCTGTTAGCGACCCCTTCAAAGCAGAGAGAGGCAGATACGGATTGGGGGGGGGGGGCGGAGTTGCGAGGGCTGGGGACGCTGGGGAGGCTGCTGTGTTCTGCTGTTCGGTTTGCGGCTGGGGTCCCGGGGCCAGGGCAGTGAGGACTGTGGCCAGGGTGGTGTGGCTGGTTGTGTCGCGTGGAAGCGGGATCCGGGTCTCAGCACTGTGCCCCACCTCCAAGCACTGCTTAGTCTTTCTGTGAAGATTTCTAGCAGTGCGTGTCACCGGGGTCTCGAGCCCTGGCCCGTCAGGGGGCCAAGTAAGAGGGACGTAGCCTTGTTTGATTTTGGCTGCTCTGTCAGGAGTGGCCTCACCGAGTCACAGCTCTGGTACCGCGTGCAGTTCGCCCACGCGGCGCGCACCTTGGGGTGTTGGGAGGCTTGTACAGCCCGGACCACATCAGACAGTCTCAGATTTCAGAGTTTCAGGCCCCGAAAGGAAACCCTCAGCGCTGTTCCCACATCTCCTCCTAGCCCCCAGGCCCCCTAGGCAACGCTCGTCTGTTTTCTGTCTGTTCTGGATTCTTCCATAAAGGCAGTGTGGACTACGGAGTCTGTGCCTGGCTGCTTTCACCTAGCGGAGTGTTTTCAAGGTTCATGTGCAGTAATTCATTTCTTACCGCTGTCGCCTTACTCCAAGGAGCCAGGTTCCATGGTTTCAGAACCAGGTTATCTAGATATTTCTTACCTGTCAGTATTTATCCATCTGTTTATACCTGTGTGGACTCAGTGGATCCTTTTTATTAGGTGGTTATAGTCATTACTGTTGTTTGTGGTGGTGCTCAAGTTATTCCAGACTGGGCCCTGAGGGCTGCTGGGAGGTGGCTCCTGGGTGGGTCTGACACGTTCCAGTTCTTTGCGCATCTTCCTGCTCTCTGCTGCGGGGGGTATTTGGGGGGTTCCAGGCTCCTGTTCTCATGGCTGGGATTCGCCTTTTCTCCAAGGAACTCTACTCTCTTAAGTCTTCATCCAGGCATCCATTCACCTGCGTGTTTATTATGAAAACCACGAGATGGCTCTTGTACCTGCACAGGGCGCGTCCTTCCTCCTTGGGTGCTGGTGACTTCCTTCCCCGAACTCACTCTCTCCAAGGTTTCCCCTCTGCACTAAGTGTAGACTGCTTGGAAGCTCATTTCCACATTGCTAGCTCATCCCGCCGGGAAAAGCAAACGTTACTAGAGTTGGGTGTTTCCTACAGTCCTAACACAGGTGCAGTGGGGTTATGGACAGGCAGGTGTCGAGCTCAGCGAGTTCTGAGAGATGGATACGTCTGTGGAATGCACACCCTGTCAGAATACCCACCGTTTCCATCACCCCAGAGAGGTCTCTCGGTTGCTTGGGATTCCCTTCCCAGAGACCACCACTGTTCTACTTGGTCATCCTCGGTTTGTTCGCCTGCTCTTGACCTTTACGCACATGGGGTTGTGTATTGCACTGGTGCGTGTGTCTGTCCGTAGTTTTGAGTTCTGCATGTGTCAGCTTGTCCCTCGTTGCTGGCTGGTGTTTATTGTGCACCTTCCCAGAGGGGCCCTTTCCACGCGCTGCCTCACTGGGCAGATTCCCAGAGGAGGGACGAGGAGCCACGGGGACTCTGGGTGCTGGGGAGCCGGGGGTGACTGCAGGTCCTCATTTCTGCCTGGAACTTGGACTCCACTCAGAGGCCACGAGAGCAGGACGCGGTAACAGGGCAGATACGTCGTCGGGGCTGGGGGGTTGCCTGTCCGTTGAAGAATGAGCTTCTGACTGTGGTTTGATGCTTCCCCTGTCGTGGTAGAAAGATGATGACATTGAGGAAGGGGATCTTCCAGAGCACAAGAGACCCTCGGCGCCTGTGGACTTCTCAAAGATAGACCCGGGCAAGCCCGAGAGCATCCTGAAGATGACCAAGAAGGGGAAGACCCTCATGATGTTCGTCACCGTGTCCGGGAGCCCCACGGAGAAGGAGACCGAGGAGATCACCAGCCTCTGGCAGGGCAGTCTCTTCAACGCCAACTACGACGTCCAGAGGTGAGCCCCGCGGGGAGGAGGGGGGCAGTGCCGGGCTGCCGAGAGACCCCGCGGTGGGACAGTGCTGGGCTGCCGAGAGACCCCGCGGGTGGGCAGTGCCGGGCTGCCGAGAGACCCCGCGGGGGGGCAGTGCCGGGCTGCCGAGAGACCCCGCGGTGGGGGGGCAGTGCTGGGCTGCCGAGAGACCCCGCGGGTGGGCAGTGCCCGGGCTGCCTAGAGACCCCGCGGGTGGGCAGTGCCGGGCTGCCGAGAGACCCCCATGGTGGGACAGCACCCGGGCTGCCGAGAGACCCCGCGGGTGGGCAGTGCCCGGGCTGCCGAGAGACCCCACGGTGGGACAGTGCCGGGCTGCCGAGAGACCCCCATGGTGGGACAGCACCCGGGCTGCCGAGAGACCCCGCGGGTGGGCAGTGCCCGGGCTGCCGAGAGACCCCACGGTGGGACAGTGCCCAGGCTGCCGAGAGACCCTACAGTGGGGTAGTACCTGGGCCTGCCGAGAGACCCCACGGTGGGACAGTGCCCGGGTCTGCCGAGAGACCCCATGGTATCCTGGGCCTGCTGGCCGTCTTGCCCAGGGCCCGGGCCTTTCCTAGCTCTGATCTCTTCATCCAGTTCCTTGTTCTTTAAAGGACGTGTCCCCTGGCCGAGGCAGGGAGGTGGGCGGCTCTCTCAGCCTAAGCCCTTGTGGCTGTAGCGTTGATTTCAGGTGTGCAGAGTGTAAGCGCCTCACTGGAGCACGAGGTGGCTACACTTTAGCCGTTGTGAGCAGCTGCGCTCCTTGGACCAGGCTGCTGACAAGGACTGAAGCAGTGGCCCTCAGAAGCCATGTGAGGAAATGCCCCCCCTGCCCGTAGCAGCAGGGCTGCCCTCTGGGGGTCTTCCGCTCTTAGTTTAGGCTGGGCGACAGGATGGAGCCCTCAGAGACCGTCGGGCCTGCAGAGCTGTGTCACATGAACAGACGCATGAGAGCAGGTGGTGTTCCGGTGGTGCTGGCCCTGAAGCCCCCAGGTCTCTGGGGAAGGGGAGCACTGTCAGCTGCAGATGGGATATGTGGTGCAGCCCCTCCGGAAGGGAAGGGCCACGCCCCCTGGTCACCTTGGTGGTCCCCGATCCCCCCCCCCCCCCCACTTTGCTTCCGAGGGGCCTGTGGAGTGTGGCCAGGCCGGCCACTGGCAGTCATCCTCTGGGCGAGCTGAGTGCCCTTTGCCAGGAAGGGCGTCTTTGATCTTGACCTACTAAGCCAGTGGCTCTTAGGCTTGCTCAGCAGGAGTTTTTATCTAGTACACTTTAACAGAATGCTTCCAGTGAAGCAGATACAGTGGGAGCTGCCGCCTTGCCTCCCAGCCTTGAGCCCCTGTGCAGCCTCCCAAGGAGCTTCCCCTCTCTCTGTCTCTGTCTCTCTCGGTTTTTATTTGTTTATTTGAGAGCCAGAGCGGGACTCCCTGAATGCCCACAACAGCCAGGGCTCGGTGGGGTAGGACCTGGAAGCCAGCTCCGTGTGGGTGGCAGGGACCCAGCGCCTGAGCCCCACTGCCGCCTTCCAGGCTGCAGGCTGGCAGGAAGCTGGCGATGGGAACTGAAGCCGGTCCCTCCTGCGTGGGACACGGGGTGTAACTGCCGGGCCATACACCTGCACCTGCGAGCGCTTCTCCAGCCGGAGCAGCCGCTGAACCCACGGCAGTGTCTGCTTCTGCTCTGGGCTGAGCGGGAAGTTCAGTGGATGTCAGTAGATACTAGGCCTTGGGAAACAGTTTTAGTTTGTGTCCTGTATCCGTGGAGAATTCGGAATCAGCCTTTTTCGTTCTGTGGGTCAGGTGCTACAGAGTTGCTCAGAGCTGCCGGCCACTGGCAGCGCGCGTGCTCACGGTGTCACTGTGTCCGTCCAGGTTCATCGTGGGCTCAGACCGCGCCATCTTCATGCTGCGGGACGGCGGTTACGCCTGGGAGATCAAGGACTTCCTCGTCAGCCAAGACAGGTGCGCCGACGTCACGCTGGAGGGGCAGGTGTATCCTGGCAAAGGAGGAGGGGACAAGGAGAAAAACAGAACAAAGCAGGACAAGGGGAGAAAGAAGAAAGAAGGAGAGCCGAAGGCCCGGGCCTCCAAGGATGACAATCGAGCCCGGAGTAAGAGGGAGGACTTGTGACAGGCGGCGCTGGCGCTCTGCGGAGCAGCGGGCGGCGCGTGGCTGGGCGGGAGCCGGCTCAAGGTACCAGCCTCGCCCCTGCAGAAGGGGTCTGCCGCACGCCCCGGGTGCGGTCAGCGTGAGATCCCCGCCCAGCCGCGTCAGGGGGACAGCGGTGTTGCGTTCTCATCAGCGTTGGACACAGGATTCACGGTGACTGCACAGTCACCTTCCCCAGGAACTCGGCTGCGGCCCGTCCCCGTTCCGCCCGCCGGGTCGTGGCTGGGGGCCGCCACCTCCTTCGGTACCCCGCTGGGTCCCTGTCCCTTTTCTAGTCACTAACGAGGCAAGCTGGTGAGGTGGGTGGCGGACCCGAGTCAGCCTGTGAGACCCGCTGCGGGGGCTGGGCAGGGGCTGTGGTGGGGGAGCCTGGGGCCCGCAGGAAGTGCAGGCAGCGGAAGCCCGTGTCGCCTGTGCTCTGAGGCTCACTAGAGAGACCTCTCGGTGCTGGCGTGGACGGTCACTCATCGGCCATGGTCACGGTCATGGTGACGGTCACAGTCACGGTCACAGAGTCCTCGGCGGGGCGGGGTGGGGCCCGCTCACCTCACTCACAGTGTTCCTCAAGGCTGAAGTGCCTGGTGCGCGGTGTTGCTGTGCGGTACCAACGCGACGGCTGCTCCGCGTGGCTGCCTCCGCTGCCCCCTGCTGGAGTCCACTCCGAATAGGAGAGCATTTGTACACAGGTGTCGTTTTTAAAATCTACAGTTCTTTGGGGAAAAAAAAGAAAAAAACTTGAGTGGTGCTTTTAAGGAATTAAAAATACTCGCTCATGCACATGGTTAGGAGCCGCTGTCTGAATGAACGCCACAGCCGGGGTCTCTGCCCCGCTCTTGGCTTCCTGGCCCGGTGGGATCTGCCATCCGCCTCGGGTGGTGTCGTGGGCGTGGTTTGGCCTCGGGGCACCTGCTTCCCCTTACTTTGGCAGCCACTCCCTTCCCCCTTGGGGGCCGAGGCTGTGGGATCCGTCAGAGCTAGTACTGGGTGTGTTTGCGCCTCTTCGGGAAGGTGACTTCTTGTTTCTTCTGCATTTCCACCCGGGAGGGGTGAGGCTGCCACCGTCCTGCCCCTCCGAGGACAGCCGAGGGAGAAGGCGGCCAGGTCCCGGGCTGGCCAGATCTGCAACTCGCTCTGTCCCTGCTTAGAGCGCTCTGTTGAGTGTGTCCTGTGTGACCATATGGCCCAGGATGGGGCAACAGGTGAGCCTCCTGATCCCACAGAAGGGAGCTGAGCCTCACCCTGCTCGGACGCCATCCACGTCGGAACACCCGGGGCTCGGCGTCTCGGGGCTCACAGGCGGTGAGCAGCCACGTGCGCCAGAGTGTGCTGAGCGCCTGTCCGGTGCCGCTGGTCTCCATCTCCCATCAGCTCCCCTTCCGGGGACACCTGCAGTCCGAGGTCCTGGCCGCCTCTGGACAGGAGCAGCTTCACCCGCACTCTGCCACCTCCTGGGCCCAGGCCCGTGCCCCAGGTGGCTGCGCACCGGCTCCC